AAATCTTTGAAAATAATAAAAACATATAAAGATAAGTAAAATATTGTTTAAAATAATAAAACATATCTGCCAATAGAACAAGAACATATGACTTACTGCAGATTTCGGAAAATACAAAATAATACTATCCCCAAATGACTTGATTCTAGAATAAAAACATGCATTTCAAGAATTATGTACTTATTTATTAAAACATTTTGAGAAAATGTTTCCTAAATTATTGCATAACATATCTTGTTTATTACTCAAACATGTTATCTAAGAAAGCTCTTTATTACAAAACTACATTTTCAAGCACCCAATAAATGTTGCAGATAATAAGAAATCATTTATGTTGTTTTTAGTAAATAAATCTTTCCAGGATTTTACTTTTTTAATATTTTCATCCATTTGAAATTAAAATAAATCGGCAAATTTCATATTAACCCTTTAATGGCAGCGTGCCCTAAAGCCTCTTTGAAGAGCTTCCAGCTCGTTCAGAATACAGCAGCTAGGATCTTAACAGGTACCAAAAGGAGGGAGCACATAACTCCGGTGTTAAAATCACTCCACTGGCTCCCTGTGGAGTACAGAATAAAGTTTAAAATCCTACTCTTAACATATAAAGCCATAAATGGCTTGGCTCCTTCTTATCTCCAAGACACGTTAGTGTCGTATCAACCAAGTCGAGCGTTGCACTCACAAAACGCCAGACGTCTGGTGGTCCCTAAGGTCTCAAAGGTCACTGTTGGTGGCAGAGCATTTAGCTCCAAGCTCCTTTACTGTGGAATCAGCTTCATTTATGTTAATGGAAGCAGATACGGTCTCCACATTCAAGGCCAGGCTTAAAGCACTCTACTTTAATTTAGCATATAATTAGGTAATATATAATATGTAGTGTATATATTATATATATATATGCTGTATTATGTTATATATTATGTTATATATTATTCAATAATGTATTGTGTTATGTTGTATATTATGTTATATATTATGCTGTATGTTATTCTTTATTCAAGGCTAGGTTTAAAACAGTCCTCTTTTAGTTTAGCATATGGCTAGGAAGGTAAGACTCGGAGAAGGTTAAACTCCTCAGAGTGTTAGTCAAGCTGCATCAGGGCCGCCCCCTGCTGGAGAAGTATGGTAACTTGAGCACGATCCTCTCCTCCTTCCTACTTTATCTGTTTTAGCATTTTTAGGATATCTGACTGTAGTTTGTCCCCCCCCCTTCTCTTCTATTCACCCGTTGTCCCATTGTCTGTTTCATGGTACGATGACGGGATCTCTGAGCCTGGCCTCCTCCATCTACACCTGCGGACTGCCCGCCCGACCCGCCTGGGAGTGCTTCGGTCCTTGCACCGGACCTGTCCACGTTCAGCGGCCACAGGTCCACGTCCTTGTAGCTAGCCTTAGGTCCTAGATCATTAGTCTGTCCGTCCGGAAGGAGCGGATCCCTTTTCTCATAGGGTCCCCTCCCTGTGGGTTTCCCTAGTTCTCCTCCAAGGTTTCTCACTTTTTCCCACTGGTTTTTTAAGAGTTTTCCCTTGTCATGCAGGAGGGTCTTGTTGGACAGTTAGGGTCCAACAGTAAAGGATTGGTGATGATCAGGACACTTTAGCATTCTACAACATGTATGGACATTTTCTTCTGTGTGTGCTTTATATTCTTCATGTGTTTTAACTGTTGATTCTCTGACCTGTGTTGGTGATTGTCTGTTTGTGACCTAATGACTGTATTCCTTAACTGTTCGGTGGATCACATCTGCGAGAGTTTGGACCTGAAATCTGCCTTTTTGGGCTTAAATATTTGTTGTTTACTTCCTGTCTCCTGTTGACTGTTTGCCCTGATGTGATCCAACTGCGCACAGGGACAAATGTTTTCAAATCTATTGGGATTTTTATGATTTCAAGACGTACATATCCACACTAACTAACGTACTAACTAATATTTACAAACAAACACATTAACAGCTACATATTTCCATGCTCCTTGTCTCTGTTGCAGCCATCGTGGTCCTCTTCATCACGCTCAGACGCAGCAAGAAGGAGCCGCTGATTCATCTCGGAGGAGGACGTGCGGGAGAACGTGGTCACCTACGACGACGCCGAGGGCGCGGGCGGCGAGGAGGACACCGAGGCCTTCGACATATCGCGCTGCGGGAACCCGGCCGCCGCGGAGGAACTCAAATTCAGACGGGACGTGAGACCGGACGCCAGGCAGCACCGCAGCGGCGCCACGGCGACGCAGCTCCAGCAGTCCTGTCCGTGGACCAGGCCGACGTCCACGACTTCATCAAACACAAACTGGTGGAGGCGGACTTGGACACCAGCGGGCTCCGTACGACTCTCTGCAGACGTACGCCTTCGAGGGGCAGGGGTCGCCGGCGGGGACGATAAGCCCGCTGGATTCTTTCGGCACGCAGTCGGAGCAGGATTACAATTACCTGGACGACTGGGGGCCCGAGTTTCAGAAACTGGCCGAGATCTACGGAGACGCAGATTCGGATGTGACGACCTAAGATCAGAGGCTAAAAGAGTTTCCTGAAGAGCATTGACAGATAAACTGCGTCTCTCGAACTGCTTTGGATGATAACAAACTATTTACTGTCAAACTGAAAACTATTTTTATTTTTTCATTTTTCATTTTGGAGTATTATTATGGGCCGTCTGTGGAAAGTATTGGATCAGATTTTGAAAGAAAAGAGCAACACTATTGGAGATATAAGGGAAATGATATTTTCCTTGGTGTATATTTTTTATTGCTCAATAAAGTCCTGAAATCCATTTGGGTGGATTTGTGCGAAATTGTGCTTTTGTCTTTTTCTATCAACCCTGGATTTACAGCGTGTAGTTAGGGTCGCCACCGGGGGCAGTACCTTCCAATGAGCCCATTCTTCACAGGACGCAAAGGGGATGCTGAGAGCTGGGAGAATATTATTATTATTATTATTTACTTTGGAGAATAGAAGTGAGAAATTCTGAAACGTGAAATACCTAGATATATTGAGATATGGATGGTTTATGGCACACATCCGCATGAGCTGTATCAGCTGTGTCAGACTGCTGCATCCGCAACCCGGCAACAGATAAAGAACATTTATATTTGATTATATAAGCTCACACATTTTATTCAAAGATCATGTGGCTAATATGTGCAGCCAATTCTTAAAATACACATGTTTAATAGAAAGCATGATCCCGGCTCCAAAAGGTCCAGGAGCACGTGCGCTGACATGCTGCAATCTCATTTTGGGCCGGTGGGGGTGTACCCAGAAATAGAATTACCCAATGCTTTTGTACGGCGTGTTCTTTCCTCTGGAAACCTCTTTACAGGATGGTCCAAAAGTTGGTCTTGGTCTTGGGAGTATTTGTTTTTGGACCAGTCTAGTTTAGCCGCTGTGGACCTTTGAATGAATGGGGCTGAAGTAGCCAACACACGCATAAATGCGTTTTTACACATTTTCCTGCCCTACGGCCATTTTGAAAAAGCCCACAGACGGCACATGTGGGAAGTGAAGGCACATGAAGGTGTGACTACATCGGTTAATATTTACAGACTATGAATAAAAGTCATTCATCCTCTTAGGGAAATTTGTCCTCTGCATTTGAGGCCACCAAGGCTTACGTCAGCAGCAGAGGTCGCTGTGGTTACAGCGCCTGAGAATTCATAAGAATTCATAACAATAAAAACTGGTATTTTTGGATTTTGGTTTTACTTTATCCCAGTGGGGAATCTGTCCTCTGCATTGAACCCAGAGCAGAGGAAGTGCAGCAGCAGGGGACCCATCTCTCCCATATGCACTTGGTCATCAACCTCCACTGAAGGATTTGACCTCTGGTGCAGGTAACCGGAGCGCCTGGAGGAAACCCACCCAAACCAAGCACAACATTGGACTCCCCTCTCCACCGCCTGCTGCATCCAACTCAAGTATAAATCCTTTTCTCATAGATTTGGAAATCAATGGTTATTTTTATATTGAATCCTTTTGTGTGTAGGTCTTACACGTTTGCCTTTTGTGTCCTCAGACCATGTGTGCAGCCGCGATGGTCCTCAGGGAGAATCTCAGTCTCAGTTTGAGCGATGGTCGTGTATATTCCATAACGATACAATCAGTAACTTAAGGGAGAACACACCATTATGACTGAAATGAGAGCAAGGGAGGCCCACGGAAACATCAACAATTCATGAGTCTGGAAATGTGTTACGATGAAAATCAATAGGCAAAAAAAAGGGTAAAATGTGTTGTGGAAAGTCAACCGCGAGTGTGAGAGCGTGTAATTAAACACGGAATTGGGTTTAGATAGCCGCAGGAGGAGTTGTAATGATAGACAAATTATTACAAAAATAGAAATGGACAAATGAGAAAAGCAAACAGATAATATATTGGCGATGCACTTGACCTGAGATCAATGAGCTGCTGCAGAAGGAGGAGATACTAAAGGTTCAATCTCCTTCTGTTCTCGGTGCAGTCGCAATCGATGAATGTGAATGTTGGAGATACATCATGGATTTATTTTATATAAATGTTGGATTATTGTGTTGATGATTCCTGGTTTTCCACCATGAACACTATGTACTGAACTTAAACTGAACTTAAACCACAATCACTTCATGCAAATAAAAAGCTCCTGGACTTTTAAACCACGAAACAACTAAAAAACTTGTCCTTTTTCCTCAAAACCGTTTCGTTCTGTCACTAGTTTTGAACCTGCCTGTAAGTGGGGCCTCTGTCTCATCTCTATTTTTGATATTTTTTATTTAATCTTTAATTTAGACACGTAAAGAGTCTCTATAACACAAAAACACACAACAATAAAACATAAAATATTTATCTGCTTTTTTGAGTGAGAGTGGGCCAGCCGCACTCAGCCAATCAGCTCTCAGCGTCCAAAAGTGACTCTCCAGAATCTTTCTTACACGTTTGCCAAATATATTAAGTTTTCTAATAACATGAGCCTTTTGTCGTCTGATTATTTCACAACATTTTACTTTTACAATATTCTTTCTGTTGGGACAAACAGAAACCAACACGTTAGGTACCCCAGCTTTAAGAAGGACTGAGGTTAACTAAGAAAATTATTCTGTTGAAGTTAAAGTGACCTTTTGTTTTTGATGGAAGTTTATACAAATGGCCACGTGGCATTTTGCTCTTTAGTCGCACACCTCCTGTTTTTGGTGTGAGCGATATCGTCAAAGTGGGCAAGAAAATACAAAAATACCGTACATGAAATGGGTTTTGTGTGTATTAGTTACCACAATTAGTGCCAAATTGTGGTTGTGTCCTTAGGCAAGACACTTCCCCCATTAGAATGAGTCTGGTGTGTCTATGAATGGTTGGTGGTGGTGAGAGGGGCTGATGGCACAGACTGGTTGCCTCGCTTCTGTCAGTGTGCCCCAGGGCAGCTGTGGCTACAGTAGTAGTTTATCACCACCGTGTTTGGAGAGAGAGAATAATGACAAGTGGAGGGTCTTTGAGAGTCCTGCAAAGCGTTGTATAAAACCACTGCATTATTATTATTATCATTATTATTTTGACATTTGATAAAACTAAAGAAGCGAGTTGACAGCGTTTCTTCTAAAAACAGCATTGATTACCTGCAGGCACTGCCCCCTGGTGGACAAAACAATAGCCGCTATAACTCAAATAAATGTATTCTTGTTTCGTCCTAAACCAAAACAGCAGTTATCTCAGAGGACTTCTGAAATGGCCAACACAGATCAGAGAATCAAACCGTTCAAACACAAAGAAAAGAGAACACACAGGTATTGGTCGATTATTTACCCTGGGTGATTCCAAGCATTTATTTGTTCATATATTAATACTTTTTTGATTATATTCGAATTGTAATATCAATAAAAGAATGAAATGAGCTTTAGCCCCTGCACTAATTTAGTCTTTTGTCACCTTTCCACAAAAGGTGACAAGGTCCAAATGCACAGCATCTGCACTTATTACAACAACAAAATACGGCTAAAACAACCGTTTAGGATTCTTGGGAGAAACACTGAATGCGATTACTGCACGGAGGAAACAAATCAACCTTGGACTCCGCATTTGTGTCCCGGGCTTTTTTTCCGCTTGGTCAGCTCCACGCTTCATTAGACCAGAGGGGTCCTGCCGCAGCCCCGTCCCTGGACCGGCCCATTAGCCAGTCCGGATGGCAGAAGTCCAGTAAAAAAAAAATATATATATATAAAAGCTGTCATTTTCACGACTGGATAAAGCTGCAGGCTGTTGTTGCGGATGATACTGCATCGTTATTCCAGAGAGGGATTCGGCGAAGTCTGTCTTTCTCCAACAGGTCAGGACCAGATGAGCCAAAGACACTGCGAAGTCCAAAGAGTCGTCTACAAGAAGTTTTTACTAAATATAATGGTTTCTTTTGGCCTGGAGAGTTTATTTTTCAGAACCAATGAATAATATTTAAGTCTCGAAGCAGCAACTGGGCTAAACTTCTATAGGTTCTTTGTCGGATCCCATATAATTATTATGGAAATCCAGGCAAAGATGAAAAGTTGTTTAGAATAGAAGAGATTGGTTCAGCTTTCCTGGTTTCTTATTCAATCAGCGTGCGTCACGGTAATCCATAATGAAAGAAAACAGGGTACAATAAATATACGATCCAACCTGACAATTAAAGCTAAGGTATGTGGCTTCTTTCCATGCATAATGAATGAATGTATTGATTTTGAGAAAGGATTGGGCTGAAGCTACTTTCTGATGTGACTCCATCCTGACATCACGTCCTGTACAAATCAATAACTACAACTATGTAGAAAATAAAATAAAATACATTTTACAGACTGATCTCAAACTCAAAATACATATTAAAGTAGCAATATGTAAGTTATTTGTGTCATGTCATCATTAAAGGGCCCTAATCTGTCATTATTAAAGGCCCTAATCTGTCATCATTAAAGGCCCTAATCTGTCAAAAGTCATTAATAAACTGTTCTTTTCCAATACTTCTACAGCCCCTGAATCTTGTTATTGTTTTCATTTCGATGTCCTGCCCTCCACCGTTTCACCAATCAGAAAGTCTGTGATCCGGGCGCCAGCACTCACCGCGTGGAGCTAATCTCACTGGTAAAGTACCATGTGGCGCAGAACTAAAAAAGGTCTCGTTATGATTCTCAAATCATTAACGACAAAACAAGGAATAAAACCAGGATTTCTATCTTTGTGAAAAAGGTGTTGGTTATAGATTTGTTGTTGACAAATTAACCTTTTATTGAGATATTATGGTCCCAGCTGGATTTGTCTGTATATCTGGCAAATATACTGGCAATATTTAGCCCTTTGGGTAGAGAGCTGATTGGCTAAAGAAGGGCAGCCCTTGCATTTCCTTTTTTCTGTCTGAAAAAGCAGATCTAAGGATGAGACAGAGGCCAAAACAACAGCAATGACAGTGACGGAGCCAGTTAGATTAGACATTAGGGCTGTGGTTAGAACGGCACTTTAATGATCTTGCACTTGAAACTTCATTTAAATTCTGGCTTGGTCAAGAGACTCTTCAA